CCTGTCTGGGTGTGGGCGCCCTGACAGTATCCCAGCCCTTGTACAACCATGACAGTCACGACTAACAACACCCTCATGCTCAACTTTAATCGCGCTACTGTGTTACTCCAGCAGTCCTCGATTAAATTTCTCGTCAGACCTACCAATTATGAACGTTCAATTTATTTGTCAATAACTCCAGAACTGATGCATTCCAAGAGTCTGGAGCATAGTCAAGTGGTCGTCCATTTCACGTTGAGAATGCCATTGAGCCAGCAGCTGTTGACTTCTGATTATTACACACGGAAAAGGAAAACCACTGCTTGGTGAACCAAGTAAGCCACTTCATTGAAAACTCCGTGACAGCCCGCGAGGTTAAATGACTCTCAATCTTTAGCGAGCATAAAAGTTACTGTAAACTATGTTTTAAACGGGACTGAAAATCAGAATCGCAAAGTATCTTAAAGTTCAACGGAGAGTCGTTGGACTGGTCACTCTCAGCTTTCTACCGATCCGCGTTGCCTCTGACCAGTTTAAGAATTTTAAGCCTAATGAATTGCTCTTTGAAGGCTTGTGTCTGCAATAGCATTTTCGTGCGCTGCTTTACAACACAAACCTGGTTAATATCTGTTTTCTTCTACATGCTTAAGGAACCAAACTGAATATGGGATCACTCACCCTCACCGCACTTAGGACACGGTGATATTGATAGGTGTTCCTTTCACCGGTTTCAAAACCTTCTTATAAGCACTTCCCTCGGAATCGTGTCATTGGTACTTTGTACTGTTGAAGAAGTGATTTCTTGAAACTCGCTACTTCTATTTTTCATCAGTAGCAGGTAATGGATTAGGGGTTTAAATTGTGTTGTCCGCGCTGACGATCCAAGTATATAAAGTGTCTTCGGGAATATATTGGCCGTGCAAGACAACATAAATGTCACGGGTGACAAAATGGGTAGTCTGTGTCGTCTTTCAACTTGAAAAATGCACCTCACGCTAAGACGTGTTCCCTCAAATGAACCGGCGTAGTTGCTTTGTAGGATGTTGTCGAACAGGAGATTACAATGGCCTTCTAAAGGTCATCACTCGCTCTTGATTCAAGACAACCTCCCGCGCAGTTCAAGGTCTATTTTAATGATTTAATCACTTACGAAGGACTTTCAAGATTGACTGCTATCCAGCATCAGTATTTTCTTTTCAATCTTTGGTCTGTCCTGTCAGCAAACGCGTATGTCCCTCAATGGTACTCTGTTCTGCTTGAAAAGTCCAAAGTCCGGTAGACTGCATCAAACCAGGTGCCTGTTGCATCAGCTTCACAGGGAGCTGCATCGTTGTGGAACCCCGCACGCAAGTCTACCAACCTATTCCCGATTACCTCATTTTTGCTCCTAATATCCATATGCGCAGCTAAATTCAAGCCCATTTTCAAAATTCTTTTGCAGAAAAACCACGAGCCTATGGTTCCAAGGTCGCTATCTTCTGCAATGATCTACGGTTGCACCCACACTAGTTATTCAGACGGGATTTATAAAATCGAACTCTATTCCCTGAATAAATATCGAAACCTAACGTGCCTGCCGATTTAATCTTAACGATAATCAACGCCCCTTGCAGAATTGTGAAGGGGAACTCCAATGTCCCATCTATGTGCTTTGCCAGCAAATCAAGTGGGAACTTATTCAAAATTTGGTGGACTTTATTAAATACTGGTTCGTACGTCCATCTGCCTTGGACTCAACTGAAAGTTCAAGGGAAGTTGGTGGTAAATCATAGTAATTTGGTGACAGCGTTTGACGTTAAAGGCCGCAAAGCTCACAATCATCCACCTCTTCTTATTCTTATTATTATCATTATTATTATTATCACCGCTGCTCTCTATCTTAACGGATTAGGTCTAGAAGGGCAAAACATTTTTGATCAATGGGTATTGGACGCCAAATTTGGCACGAAACGCATCAAGTCATGCTAGATAGGTTCGGAATTTAACAACATACCGTCTGTGAATGATAAAGACAGGGCGGGATCTAGTGTGTTTATGGACTCGATTTTCAAATGAGCTCAATCTGAGTGAAGATGACTCAGGCAGCAGACTCATGCTCAATCTGCAAATGTAATTTAAAAAGCTGGGGTAAAACTGGTTTTGGTGAACTTCAATAAAAAGCTTGATTTCGGAATGCTGATTACCGGCTGCTCATCAGGGGTCTACAGTCTAGAGGATGCTTGGGAACTGCTAGGAGCCCCACGGGCGCTAGCTGATTAGCCCTAGACGAGAAAACATACACAGGTTCAGTGATAGAAAATCTAGAAGAAGGCGGGGTTAAAGTCAGTGCACCATCAAATTTAAGTGGCTACTGTCAGAATATGTTAAAACCATTGCTTTAAAATATATGGTCGAAGCTATTTTAATAGTAAAAAATAGGGTGCACTCTGCGGAAAATGCAAGAAGTGAATGTGCAGTTAACGGACGCAAAGACCAGGTGGGTTGCTGACTACGTTGTTGGTGTTGGGTGGGAGGTTGAGGGAAGCACGTGTGCCAAAAACACAAACTTCTAGGTCAGGAAGTCCTGCAGTAAAATTGGAAAAACAACGGTGCTGTGTCAGCCGGGGATGAGCAGCTTTATTGCTTTGGTTATGAATGGCATTAATTGGGGTACAACTTACTGATTTAGTTAGAACTGTATTTATTACCGAATGGCGCATTTAGGGTAATAAACTGTGCTAGCGGCCGAAGTCAAACAGCATATAGGTATTGAAGTCTGGCTGAGAATAAGGACGGCATAGAGCGAAATTTGGGATTTCAGATAGTTCTGCAGAACCCAGGTTTTGAATGAACAAACTGGAGACTGATGTTGTAATGAGGTACAAAGTAACATGAGGTAATAGCGGCATCCAACAACCCTCTAAAATTGCATGAAGTTAGCCTTAAGGAAGTCAGATGAACACTGCATTTCAAACTAATAATCTAACAAAAATATAAAGGAATAACAAATTAAACGCATCCTTGTGGTAGCTGATCCAATTTTATCTCAACCGCTAAAGAAGAAGGGTTGTTCGAATAAAGGGTCATCTCCAGTGAAGCACGGATAGGACGCCTACAGTCTGTTGGAAGCGAAAGCTTCAGCCTCACTTGAATGGGGTCTGAGAAAGCCAACATTCTCTAATATGTTCGACCTGCCCTATACATTGCGAGGAAATTCAAAATGTAATAAATTGGTGTGATAATTCCTAGTTCGGCCACCCACATGTTAATGACACGCGGCTTTGAACAGGTGTTCCTCGCAGGTTTTCTCGGTGGTGTATGACTTTACGCCAAAAAAATATTACCTAGACCTCACTCGACATGCTGCCGGTAGCTCAAATTCGAACATTCTGTACGACAGTCAACCAAAAGTGAAGTGTTGCCATCCACCAAAATTTAGCGAAAGTACAAATGACTGGGATAAAGAACACTGTTAGGCATGCGCGTATGGTTGTTCGTCCTGAACGTAAATCTGTGTATGTGTCAAAGGAAGAAGGCATTCGCTGCGAAGTTATTTATTCGGAAATGCTAACTGACCGGTTACAGACCATTGAACAGGGAATCAAATCTCTAATCTTCATCTTAGTTAAAAAACCGGACACCGATCTTCTCCCAAACGAGTCTTCTTGAACTTTCCTGGAGATTCATTGACTCCCCTCATTCGTTCGTCAAACCCAAGCAAATGTTACAAAGTGGCTCCACGAATTCCGCAACAGATTTTCCTTTTTCAATAGATGCAAAGCGAAATTCTACGAACAACACATACTACTCGTGTGCCTTCCCATCAGTAGTATCACCGCCACACACCTCCACCCCTTAAAGATCGTTCATCATCATCATCGGCAGCATGACATCAGTGTTCAACACCGATGCTTCACTCCCGTATTAAAGCTCGTTCGCATGCCATCGATTTTCATTGACCTCCGTCAGGTCGGCTTCGGCAGCGGGTCTACTCGGCCGGTCTTCGGGTGTATCATGCCACTTGCGAAGCTGCGTCCTATTCACTACTTTCGATCCCCGACCATCTTAAATGGTATAGACGTTCCCTCGGCGGTCGGTGAATACAAGCGGCCCTTGCCATCGACAGCCCGGCTTCCGCTACCACAGTCCACTCCTTCCAGGACTCTGGTGATCCTTCCACTTGACCTCCGTGCCTATGGGGAACGTTCGGACCTTTCTACTTGCCGTTTTCTGCCTAGTCCTTTCCTGAACGGCGGTCAAATTTTCTCGAGCTCTCATTCTTTCTTCCTCTGGCCTCTCCGGAGACAAGCGTGTTGCCAGCCACAACCCAATTTTCCTGATCAACCGGAAGGCGCGGATGTCGACCGAACATCAGCATAAACGGGATCTGCCTGTGGTTGACTGCGTGGAAGCACGATAAGCTAACAACACCACGGGCAAGTCATTTCCCAGTCACCTCCTTTGGCCGCAAGCCACTCCTTAATCGTTCGGTTATTACGTTCGGTCAGGCCATTTGTTTGCGGGTGGTATGGTGCCGTCCTTAGCCGTCTGATACCCAGCTTCTGCAAGCACTTACGAAACTCTTCGCTCTCGAAGCAAGGCCCCTGATCGGTTAGGATCATTTTTGGCACCCCATGGTTGGCCGCAAATAAAATACCCACCTAACTACCTCTGGTAAGTTGCAGTTCCGTGTAATTTTACCTAACAAAGGGGTCAACATAATCCTTCACCTCACTACTCATCCCGGGCCAGTAGGCCCTCTGCCGAAGTAGGTCGTATGTCTTGGTGCATCCTGTATGTGTCATCTCATGGCATTCAACGATGAGATTCCGTCTCAAGACGCGAGGTATCACGGGCAGCACAACATCTGAATCAGTGGCATTCCAGGAAATTATGCCAGCTTCATTCAGCCTCAGCCGATCAAAGTGACCCTGGAACGCTTCTAATTCCTTGTTTCTCCCACCTTTCTTAATGTTCCTTCTATCCAACAAAGCGTCACAACCTTTTGTAAAACGGGATCCTGCCGTTAGAGTTCCACCAACTTTCCGGGATCCAGTTCGATGACGAGGCCATTGGCTCCAATCATGATCTTGGGGACCTCATCTTCAGCTTCCGGCCTTGACAGCCAATCAGCCAAGTGGTTCTCCTTCCCGGGCACGTGCTGGATTGTGAAGTCGTACTCCTGCAACCGGAGTGCCCAGCGTGCGAGCTTCCCGGGAGGATCTCTGGTGGTCCTGATCCACTTTAGGGGTTTGTGATCGGTTTCGACATGAAACCTTTGCCCAAGAAGATGTAATATCCACTTATCCAGGGCTCAGACGATCGCTGAACATTCCTTCTCAATGGTGGGGTACTTCTGTTCAGCGTTAGTCAGGACGCGACTGGCATATTCGATAACTCCAGTACTCTGCTTTAGGACTGCGCCGATACCGCGATCACTGGCGTCCGTTGCAACAATGACCATCTCTCTGACCCTGGGAAGTTTGAGGGTCAGTTGCTGATCCGACATCCGCGCTTTGACAAGCTCAAAAGCTTCATGTACTTCTCCGGTCCATTCGAATTTCCGATTTTGACCGAGCGAATCGTACAGTGGCGCAGCGATCTTGTTGAAATCCTTAGCGAACCGGCTGTAGTATGCTGTTCGTCCAAGAAACTGCCGTAGAGACCGCTTTGAATTGGAAACAGCACAATCCTTGATCTTTGCCAATTTTTTGGGCAGTGGGCTAAGTTCTCCCTGACCCAATTTATGCCCCAGCAGTGTCACCGAACTCCGAGCGAGCTGCGTCTTGGCTTGATTTATCCGCAGGTCAGCCTCCCGGATCCCATTCAATACAGCTTTCGAGTGAACTGCGTGCTCTGGTTCCCAATTGCTGCACACAACGATATCGCCTCCTTACACGGCAACATTCTGGAGTCCCTCCGTTACACGAAGCATCAAGCGCCGGAATGTGAACGGTGCCCCGGACAAACCAAACGACATTATTTTGAATTGATATTAGGTGCCCCCAACCGTAAACGCCGTTTTCTCCCGGCCCTCCTCCTTAATAGGTAGTTGCCAATATCCGGAACGCAAGTCGAGCACAGTAAAGTATCGGGAGTGCTGGAGGGAATAAAAAATCTCTCCAACCGAAGGCACAACCACAAATCCATTTATGGTCAGTTTATTCAAGCGCCAAAAGTCCACGGAAAACCTGTATTTTCCGTTAGTCTTCCTTACAAGCACGACTGGGGAATTGTACGCACTATTAGCTTCTACGATTATACCACTCTTCAAAATCTCCTGAATATGTCAGTGGACACCCTCCCGTAGATAAGCAGCAACGGACGGGGGCCATAAGGTCGAAAGCGTTCTGATGACAGAGGAATTTCGTGTTCAATCCACGGACAGAAGCCAAACGGATCCTCATCGCCGTAAACAGTTCGGAGTATTCCTCAACCACAACCCGTATTGACGATACATTACAAGACGGAAGTTTTCGGACACACAGCTCCCTCACGACAGTGCCTGGATAACCTTCAAGCTTGATTGCGCCATACTTCGTCACCAGCCTTCCCTGCTTTAGGTCAATCACGGAATCTGTGCCCCTGAGAGAAACAGCTCCCAATATTGTTTGTTCTACGTCTGGGCTGATCAGGAACGCGTGTTGCACGAACCTGTCGCCTAGGCGTATCGAGTGCGTTGACAATCAGTCAATCTCCAGTCGATATCCACCAACAGATCTCACGACTGGCGCGCACGGTCTGCGTTCAGCTTGGTTCCCTCTTTGCCTCAGCGATACAGCTTCTCCTTTATCAATCAAAAATAACTCCTTTTCCTGTCTACCTCGACCATGGCTTGTAGAGTAGCTTGTGTCAGTGCGCTAATCGCGACCCACCCAGGAAAAGAGGAGTACTCTAAAGTTTTATTGTGTACACGTGATCGGCTACGGGGACACTGATTCTTCCAATGGCCAGGCTCGCCGCACATGTAGCATCGGCTGGTTCGAGCGTGCCTCCGCGATTCGGTCTTCACGGCTGCCAGCTGTTCGGTGAGTTGGTCCACCCTGGTCTGCAGTTCCTCCACTGATGCAGTATCCCTGTTCTCCTGCGACTGCAACGTGGCCAGTGGTTCCTCGGGCAGCTCCTGGGGCAGACGCAGCAGCTCCTCCGCACTCAACTGGCCAGTTGCTCGTGCCAACCGCAACGAGTCTTCCTAGAGATTCGTTGCCTCCACTCATTCGTCGGTCAAATCCAAGCAAATGTTACAAAGTGGCCCCACGAATTCCGCAACAGAATTCCCTTTTTCAGTCGACGCAAAGCGAAATTCTACGAACAACACATACTACTCGCGTGCCTCCCGATCAACCTTCGACGAACTGATCTGACAGCAACTGGTGTCGCGACACTCCGTCCAGCGTCGGCAAAGCGCGATCCAACAACTGCTGCAGGCCGGCGAAGAACACGGTCGGGTCAGATCCGGGTGCCATCCTGGCCGCCTTCAGCCGCCTCATAGCCTCCTGGCGGTTGGCCGGCGTGTCGGACTCTGCTGCAAGGACTTCTTTCACCGCGGCCCAGTCCGTCTTCTGAGGGCCTCTTCTGGCCGCATCCAGGGCCACCTTCGCCCGGCCCTTGAGGAGGGTCTTCAGCGCTGCTATCATACCCTGGTCGGTCTCCGGCCCGGCAGCCTCCGCAACCTCCTCAAAGCCCTCCAGGAAGATTCGAACAGCTCTATCCTCAAGGGGTTGCGGCAACGGGATCTTCATCCTTATCCTGGTCACGGCACCAAATGAAAGGGAGAAGGCCTTCGCTGCGAAGTTATTTATTCGGAAATGCCAACTGACCGGTTACAGACCATTGAACAGGGAATCAAAACTCTAATCTCCATCTTAGTTAAAAAACCGGACACCAATCTTCTCCCAAACGAGTCTTCTTGAACTTTCCTGGAGATTCATTGACTCTCCTCATTCGTTGGTCAAATCCAAGCAAACGTCACATAGTGGCTTCACGAATTCCGCGACAGATTTCCCTTTATCAGTAAACGCAAAGCGAAATCCCACGAACAACACATACTACTCGCGTGCCTCCCCATCACGAAACAGCAGGTGTTGTCGCCTGCCATGGATACGTATCGTGAATGCCAGGCTCGTTTTTAAGTACGGCATTGATTATGAGGCCTTAGCTATACACGGTAGCATGGTTTATTTGCCAACGACGACCCATGATAGTAATATCCGTATGTGCAATCGCTCATCTCCGCTGCTTAGGGCGAACACCATCCATGGGGACCGATAAAAATGAGGCCTCAGCCATGCATAACACCCTGTTCTAACGGCCTGCAGACCCGTGAGACCCATAAATGCACTCGATGTCACTAACCTTGCCTACTTATCGTAGCTGCTTGGCTTTTTCTATTTGAGGCGTTCATTATGAAACCTCAGCTTTGCACGGTAGCCTTATCCAATGGCCAACGACAGCACATCATACCCAACTACCTTGACTAATTCTAGTAACTGCCGGTCACTACCCATGCAAGCAGCCAACAATAAGGCGCCAACTATACGTAATATACCCATCCAACGGTGGTCCTTCGTGTCCGAACACGTACTCCCATGCCTGGTGCACACTCAGCCACCCTCGGCGAATTATATTTCCGTTTATTGGTTATATTGGTACATATGTTATGTACGGTCAATACAGTTCCAAGTTGCAGCTAGCCGCTTTAATCCTACAGAATTTCTGAAAGGGAGAATGTACAACTCGCCTAGAGCCTCCGCAATATCACTGAAAACACGGTGGCGAGGTGTAGATGTTCTGTTAGAGTGCGAGGTTGTGCTAATGCATGAGATGAAAAGTAAACTTTGAAAAAAATAATCGAAGTTGCAGGTAGGACAATCTGAAAGTGCATCAATATGCTTAAACCCAAGGGAAGAGATCAGAATTAGGACCAGTTTGCCCCGGAGGCGGTTGGAACCAGGAGAGGCGTTTGTTTGAAGGTTTCGAGGGAGCGAGATGAGATGGTACAGAGTATGGTTAGAAAAGCTACGGATGTGCCACCAGATTGGGTATGGGCAGAGCATGCGCAATTATGAAAAAGAAGGGACCTTGGCTGGCCAAAAGGAGCCAATCAGACAGAATAAAGCTGATCAAGGATCACAGGTAATTGCAGACACCTGAAGACCCATGTTGATGTAAAGAGAGGACCCGGATAGATGGACCTGGAAGGGAGCGACCACATGGGGTGTTCGAAGCAGCCAATGCTAAAAATCAAAGCTTGGAAAGACGAGGGAATAGAATGAGTTTAATAAATCCAATGCACAAGATAAACAGTTAAGTTGGGATCCACGATGACTGTTTAGCCTACAAGATGACGTTTAACGGCTGACAGCTGAACAGACAGGCAACGCCTACGAGGCGCAACCGCGATAGGCCAATGGTCAAGCGAGAACGAGACAAAATCTGACTGGTACATACGTTCTGGATAGAAAATGTACAAGATTGTTCAGTAATGTTTACCGAGTCACCAAACCCATTAACGAATAGAAGAGATGAATCAATCTACCAAAATATCACTGGAATGTATTCAAGGCTGAATACAAGCTGGTTTCACTGCCTAAATTATGTAGCGACCATTTATGAGCCAGAGGTTCTTGGGACTTTGCTCGGTCCCCGTTATTCCCGGGACTGAATACGTGTCATTTATCACAGTGAAACCAAAGGGATTACCATTTCCCCAGCAGATCCGGTTGCCGATTCTGGAGGTATTTTATGGTCAGAGTTGTGAGGACCCTGCCAAATATAATAACGAAAACTGCCGCAATAATACGACGACTTTTCATAGTTAAGCGGGGTACCATAGGTGCCCAAATTCACCTCGATGCTTCATTATTTAACAAGCAGTCTATGGTGCAACAAATTAATTACATCATTGTTGTACACAGGATGGTACAGTGCGAGATAAATGGCTTCCGCGTCCTCCCAAAAGAGCCGAAATATGGAACGAATGCCTCTAGTTTTCTAATCGAAACATGCAGCAAGTGTTTGGCTTCCCATAAGTTGCCGACTTTCGTCCAACTTCGAGGGGTGCCTGCTGCACATATACTGATAATG